AAAGTTATTTATTATTTAATTTAGCATAACTTTTTCAAACGTATCAAATCACATTAATTCATTCAACTTAGCTAAAGAATTTTTCAAACTAGTTGTCCTTTGCAAAATCGAATTTTTTATCCTAATTTGAATTTGGTTCCGTATATCGTTTTTGGTTTTTATGTAGTACAGGTTTTCAGTAATATAATAGTTAACAAAAAATTATTTTGCAAAAATATATTTACATAAATTTTTAATTTATTGTTTAGTATGACAAATAATTTAATTATTCAAATTTAAAAGACAATGCCATTTCCAGGAGTTATTTACAAACAAATAATTTTTTCTCTCTTTTTATTTAAAAAAATTTTTCCTTCGAGTATCAAGTGCAAACTTTATTTTTCTGTTATTATTCTCACGGTCAAATATTTACGAAAATAATGGATTTTTTTATATAGGTATATTATTTTTTTTGAAATTAGAGTAACGTCATCTTATTTGTCAAAAATTAATTAAAAAATAGTTTTTAATTTTTTGATATTCAATTTATCTTAAAATAAATTTTTAATTGAAGCAAATTATGATCGGTATACATCATCGGTCTAGCCGACCCAATTCCCGATTCCGAAAATCGGGATTTTACTTCTCATGTCAACTAGACTCCTAATAGACATAAGAAGATAGTTTTTAATATTAGAATATTAAATTTGATATTAATTCTGAAATTTTTTATTTAAATATTAAAGAATTTTATTATATTATTTTGATCAAAAAATTATACCAACACAATTAAATTTTTTTCATAATTTTTATATGTACATATTTTAATTTTATCTTTTTAACCTTCCTCCTTTTATTTTTTAATTCCGGTAGATTTTTCATTTTTGTTAGTTTTTCCTGTTCCGTCTAAAAAATATTTTAAGTAAATATTTATTTAATAATTTCCATTAAATATCCATTAAATTTATTTCTCATTGTTTACATATTCCTCCGTCATTTCCCGAATTGTATGTACTTATACCCCCTTTATTTATATTTTTTTTATAAAATTTATTCGCGTCAAAATTTGCATGGCTTCAATTTCCTTCATTTTAACCTTCTTTCTTTGTTCTCACGCCATTTATCATTAGGGTTTGCTTGGCTGTTCGAACAGATATATTGACTCACACTATCAAATAATTATATGATATGAACAGAATTTTTATTTGAAGATTAGAATTATTTTAAAATTTAGCTGAATATATCTAATTATTAAGAAATAAATAGTAAAATAAAATTAATTTGTTGGCAGGCTAAAACACGAAACATATAACACGGTATCTTCCAAGACATGAAGTAATCAAAATATGGTTCAGAGAAATAATTTTTGATTATAAAAATTCTGATTTTAAAAATATAAATATTCCGTATTTTGTTTGGACAGCGTTTTGAAAAAAATTTTTGTCCCTCATCTAATTAATTTTTATTCAAATATATTTTTCTAAAATTATTTCTCTATATTATATAAAAAAGTCTCAATTACATAAAATTTATTAATACATATTAGGTATACAGTAGTCGACAAAAAGATAGGGACAAACGCATGTGAAACGAAAATCGCCTATTATCTCAACTAAAAATCGATTTCAGGAAAAATTTTTTTGTTTAATTAAATACTCCATTTAATGCTCTATTTAATGAGTATAAGATCTACCGGATTATTATTTTTTGAAATACTGAAATAATTTAACTAAAAAAGTTATGCAAATTTCAGCCCGACAAAAAGATAGGGACAAGTCTTGTAACTAATTATTCACTCAACCAAAAAATTTATAAAAATTCGTGCGAACATACTGATCGATACTAAGATAAAATAAAAAAGAACTAGGCCCATATCTCGTTTTATTGTCGAGATCTCAATACCCCGAAAATCAACGTAAAACAGGGGTTTTCAACTTCAAAAAATATTTTCGACCCCTTATGGATTTTCTAAAATTTTTATTTTAAGCCCATTCGATAGCCCTTGAAATTTGCTATAAACTAGCCAAATTTCATTTTTGAGAAAAAAACATTTCGTTAGCTGTAGAGGCTAACGTCACAAAAAACAGCAAACGCCCCATAAATTGCTTCTTAAACGGCATTTTGGTGAATCGTCGTCCTTTATCTCGGGAGTGAAATTTTTTTGAAGAATGAAATTTGGCTAGTTTATAGCAAATTTCAAGGGCTATCGAATGGGCTCAAAATAAAAATTTTAGAAAATCCATAAGGGGTCGAAAATATTTTTTGAAGTTGAAAACCCCTGTTTTACCCGTGTTTTTAGGGTTCCGAGATCTCGATATTGAAATGAGATATGGACCTAGTTCTTTTTTATTTCTTCTTAGTATCGATCAATATGCTTCCACAAATTTTTGTAGATTTTTTGCTTTTATGAAAACTTTGTTACAAGACTTGTCCCTATCTTTTTGTCGCGCTTAAAATAGCATATCTTTTGTTTTTTAATAATGTTTGGATTTTATAAAATTTTAACCAGGCAAATTTTCTACTTATTAAATAGAGAATTAAATGGAGTATTTAATCAAATAAAAAAGTTTTCCTAAAATTGATTTTTAACCGAGAAAATAGGTGATTTCCATTACACTTGTGTTTGTCCCTATCTTTTTGTCGACTACTGTATTTATTTTATTTTGTAATATAATTATCTGTTTTTACAGCTTAATAAGCATGCTTAATTCAATCGAAATTTATCTTAAAAGATCGGAATTATGGTTATATTCATTAAATATTTATTTTATAAACCCATTATTTGAACTACCATATTTTAATTTCTTGGAATAAAATAATTAAAATTTATAATTTAAATTAAAAATATTTTTTTAAATTTAAATATTCTATTTACCTATTATTAATTCACTAATTTTTTTAAAAATATTTATTTACTACAATTTTTTGAATATTTTTTTACTTAATCTTTTAGCCATTATTTTTAAAATACAAAAATAAAAATTATTTACTTCCTCAAAAAGAAGAAAAAAATTTTTTGTACTTTTATTTTATTTAATTTTGAAATTTTTTTAAATTTAATTTTTAGAAATAATTAAATTAATGGAATCTCTAATTTCTACTTAATTTTAAAATTTAAAAATTATTTTCTACAAAATAAAATGAATTCTTCTTTAAATCAATTAATTTCAAATAATTCTTTAAATAAAAACCAAAACCAATTAATTATTCCCCCTTCACAAGAAGACAAATCAGCCAATTATTTAGCAGCTGCTTCAGCACTTCAATTAGTTGGGGATTCAGAAGAAAGTTCTTTATTGAGAAGAATTCCTGCAGGAATACAACTTTCAGGGACTTTGGCACCTTGGCAACAACAACAAATCAGTGAAGATGAGTAAGTGGATCTTTTAAAGATGATAATTAATTTTAAATAATTATTATATCCAAATATCCCGATATAAGGTATATCCGGTACAAGTTACCCATCAATTTAATTTTTTTAATTTTTCAAGACTGTATATGATAGTCAAAAAATCTGGGGTAATATTCCAAGAAGAGGGTTGTGGGTTAGTTTACCCGAATCTGGGGGTAATCATCGAGTTCTGGGTTGATTTTTTGGAATAAGGGTTAACACTCAACTCGGGGTTCTATTACCCGAGTAAGAGAACTTGGTAAATTTACCAAGTACCCTTACCTCGTTCTTAGAATACCGCCCCTTATTATTAAAATATTATTTTTCACCCTCTATCTTACAGGGAGATCTTCTTATTTTTAAAATTATTTATTTTAAAAATATTTTCAGATTCTTTGCCACCTTACCTGTATTTGATATGTTCCCCTTAAGCAATGGAGACGAGAATCACGTTATTCTATATGCTTTGGTTTGTTAATTTGTTCTAAATAAAAATAATTATTTATAGCTTTATGCTATTTTGTTTCTTGTTGGTGTATGTGGAAATATTAGTGTTATTACTTTAATTAGGTAGGGGAATTTATTTTTTAAAAATTAAAAAATTATAATTAAAATATTAGATATCTCTGAAAATTTTTTAAAAATATTCCAAATTAATCTAATAATTATTTAAGACATTTACATTCAAATACAAGTTATGATAATACAATGATTTATGTTCTTTTTCTTTGTTTTGTCGACTTAGCTTCTGTTGTGCCCCTTCCTATGGCTATTATGGACCAAGTAAATTTTAATTAAAAATTCTTAGTTAATTTTTAATTTCAGTTACTCGGTTTTTGGATGTTCGGAACAGCCTTATGTAAAGTCTATAGAGCACTTGAACACGTTGGGAGGGCTTTAAGTACTTTTGTGCTTGCAGCTATGGCTTTTGGTAAAAAAATTAAAAAAATATTTATTTAAATTTTTCAATTTTTTAAAGATCGTTTTATGCGTGTTTGTTATCCACACAGAAAAACTAGGCAAATTTTTACCTTCTAAAAATTTTTAAAATTAATTTTTTTTAGTCGCCGAATGGTCTTTATTCAATTATTATTATTAACTTTACTTACTTTTGTTCTTCTTTCTCCTTTATTAATTAAATCTTCATCTAGAGAAATTGTTTTAAAAGAAGTTTTATTAGAAAACCCTTACAGATTAGCTAGAGTTAGAATATTTAAATGTATGGATCATTTAGAAGGAACTCTTTTATGTAAGAAAAATAATTTAAAAAAATGTATAGTTTATTAGAGGTCGGGAAAATAATGGTTGTGGGATCTAGTATGGGCTAAGGTTGCTGGATAGTTGGAAATTTTTGGATATCCGGTCTTTTTTCGGATCCGGATATCGGGATTCGACAACCTTAGTATGGGCGATTTTTTAGATCATAGCTAAGAAAAAGGAATCTAGGAAAAAGGATATTTGCAAGAAGGGATCTCGAAAAGAGGATCTCATACCTACCGACCTCTATTAGATATTTTTTATTTTTTAAATCTTTTCCTTTTTAATATTTTAAAATATTCTTCTTAAAATATTAAAAAAATAAATCTTTTAAATCTGTTTTTAAAAATAATTATTTAATTTAATTTAAGCGTTCTTTATCTCCTATATGTTCCTCGTTGGCTTTTTCTTACCTATTTTATTAATTACTGTTTTTTATGCTTTAATGATGAAAAGATTATTTAAAAGATCTCGATCACTTTCTAGTTCGAAGGTATTTTAATTCGAATATATTTTTATAAAAAATTTCTTTTAGCTCCCAGTTAATCGGATTGCCGGGTATACTATAGCTATTTCTGTATTTTTTGTTTTATGTTGGAGTCCATATTGGATTAGTATGCTTTATTTTAATTTTGTTCATTGGGAAAGTGAAGACAATGAAAAACAAAGTGAAGATATTTTTAGGTAAATTTAAACCTAAAATAAATTAATTTTAAATTTTTATTTTAAATTTTAGCTTTACTTGAAATTATTAGCCTTAATCCCGTTCCTTTCCCATTTAAATTTTAATTAATAGTCTCCTTTCTCCAGACATCCCAAAAATAATTTAATAATTCAGATACCTAAATAAATAATCTATTCAATTGTATTATTAAATTAATCTGGGATATTTTGAGATAATACTTTTAGGGTTTTTAATTAGAATAATTTTAAATTTAAACTCATTTTGTAAACTCATTTAAACAATGTAAGGGAGAGAAAGATCCAGCTGGCTAGTATTTAAAACGCTCACTAGGCTGGGGTCTAAGATTTATTAAAAGAACCTGTACGTGGGGAACGCCAGGAGACGCAGAATCGAAGCGGGATTAAGCTTTTTTTAAATTTGTAATTAAAAATTTTTTAATATACCTAATTTAAAATGATTATTTTTCCATTACTTTCAAGTTCTGATAAATTTATTTACATAATGTATGGTGTCCATGCCCTCCCTTATGTCAATTCTGCCTCTAACTGGCTTCTTTATGGCCTTTTAAATAGTCAATTAATGCGTCGTGCTAAATATACAAGTGAAACTTTTTACAATAATACAACTGGAATGCCAGAAAATGGTTTTGGAAGTATTCACAGAAATTTTAATGGAAATACAACAACACCCCCTCCCCCTTCACAAATAAGAATTGAATCTTCCAGAAATTCTAGTTTAGCTGTTACATCTAAATTAAATGGAAATGGTAGATGTAATTCAACATTATCAACTCCTTTATTTGGTGGGGGTAATAGGAAAGGAAGCAAACAAGGTATAAAATAAAGAGGAATTAAATAAATATTTTTTAAATAAAAAATATTATTTTCGAAAATTCTTGAGATGTTTTAATTAAATAACGAAATTATAGTAACTGTCAGTTAAATAATAATTAGGGTTGCCAAAATGGACCGACTCGGACCTAAAGATCGAGTCGGGTCTAAGATATTTGGCCCGAAAAGGCTCGTACTGATCGCCTTGATAAGGACATGCCCGAAAAATGCCTTGACCTTCGGCCCGACTCGAAGACGGTAACCCTAATAATATTGAAATATCTTGATCTCGAAATCTCTAAAAAATTTTGCGGTCATTATCTCGTATCGATAATCTCGAGAAATTTAATGAGATTATCGTCTCGTGGCGAAAATAATAAACTTTTGTTAGGGAATAATAGAAAAATGTTAAAAAAAAATTTTAAATGAATTTTACAACATGTCCCAGGGTTTTAATTAATGTTTTTAAATTCCTTCTCTTTTTAGTTTATTAAATTACAAAAATTATTTTTAAACTTAAAAAAATTTATAAATAATTCTTTTAGATATTTTTAGTTAGAAAATCAACAATTAATGGACAAATAATTTGTCACGAGAATGGAAGTGCTTTCTCTCCCAGTTTAAGCAGTCAACGTTCAATTTCTTCAGTATCAGCACCGTTAAGAACAATTACTTTTAGTTCAATTAGACAACCAAATAATTTAAATAATAATTTAAATAATGAAGAAAAAGAATCGAGACAAAGATTATTAAGTCAAGAAGTTAATAATGATATTTTACTTTAAATAAAGAGAGGGCTATAGTTAGTCTATTATTATTAACATACCTTTGAGGGAGAGTAAGTTCTCCGATCTAGAAATGGTCGGATTACGCGATTCTGAAACCCGATCAAAGAATTTTAAAGCCCAACCCGACTTTTTCTCAACTCGAAACAGATCTGATATAGGTACCCTATACAAGGGATAATGCCAATACAAAACATATCCACTATTTTAGAGAAAACGGTAGGGCATGTTCTCCAATACTTGTAACCCTTAAAATGATACAAAATATTTACATTTTTACAGTTTTATATTGTTTGTGCCTTTTTTCCTTTAAAATTATTGTATAAAAATGATGCTTAATACAATTAATAAATATTAACTTTCGTTAAAATCCCATCCCCAATGGACTAGCTGATTATTTGGAGTAGAGTTGATCAAGACGAGACCGATACCGAGACCGATACCGAGATTCTCGGCTTTTTTCCAATATCGGTCTCGGTTTTTTCATTCTCGGTCTCGAAACCGATACCGATATTCTCGGTCCATTTCTCGGCGAGAAACGATACTGACTCAAAGAAACAAAATTCTTAATATTGTCCATGTTTTCGTCCATAATTTTTTTCGGATATACTTCCATAACAGAGAGTGAATTTTTTTCGAATAAGGTCTTCTAAAATTCAAAAATTTTCGCCTGCGGCGCTGAAAAAGGAAGAAATTTGGTGACTTGGCCTTCCAAAATTTAATAAATTTTTGTCTGCGGCGCTGAGAATAGGAAGAATTCTGGCTTCTTGGCCTTACAAAACTACAAATTTTTGCCTGCGGCGCTGAAAATTGGAATAAATCTGTTGACTTGCACTTCTAAAATTCTAAAAATTTTTGCCTGCGGCGCTGAAATAATGGGTTGGTTAACCGAAATTTTCACTTCGGCCATCCGCGGATACCCGCTGATGGATATACCCGCGGATGGATAATCCTCAGAAGTTGTAAGGATATAATCGGATACGGATGTCGACCTCACGGATATCCTATTCGGATACGAACACAAAAATTAGTATCCATTGCCAAGCCAAATCGGATCCAGATGATGAAGAGTATTTATCTGATGAGTTGGATGATGAAAAAAATGAATATATTATTTTTACACGTATTTTTTGACATAAAATAAAAATTTTTGTTAGTCTCGGTCAGTATCGTTTCTCGGTATCGGTCTCGGCTTAAAATGATGGTATCGGTCTCGGTATCGGGTTCATGAGTATCGGTCAATCTCGGTCTCGGGTTGGCCGATACCAGTATCGTTTTGATCAACTCTAATTTGGAGTAAAATCGTTGTATGAATCTACTCTCGACTACCACAATTAAGTTAATTTATAACAATTATAAAAATTAAATTTTTAACATAAAATATTTAAAAATATATCTATTAAATACCGTATTTCCTGAAATAGTACTCCCCCCTGAATTAGCACTCCCCCCTTAAATAGTACTCCCCTTTAGAGGAGGGTTGAAAAATAGTACTCCCCCCTGAATTAGTACTCCCCCTAAAATAGCACTCCCCCCTAAAAATTTTTCTCCTATATTTGAAAAAATAAAAAGAGACTCATTGAATTATTTTATTTATTCTAAGTAGCGTTGTCGGTTTCACTTGATTCTCCGATAAACAAAACCGGAAAGCCTTCGGTTAACCGAAAACGAACTGAAATTTTAACCTAAAATTTTTCGGAGATTAAAGAAATACAATCCGGTTAATTGGTGGGGTAAAAGTGGATTTTGGGGGATATAAAGGGATTGATATCTGATGATAAAATGGGTTCTGGATTGATCAAGTAGGATTTAAAAGATATCATTGGATTAAGGTTTGATGAAGGGATTTGAGGGGAATACACACAAGATTAGTTAACCCTATGAGATTAGTTAATAGAGGGATACACACGAGACTAGTTAACCCCCTGATAAATTCCTAGACAGAGATATTTCCACTATATCCCAAAAAATTAATTGATAATCATTTTATTAATATCATTTTATTATTATTGATAATCATTTTATTATATTTTAATATCAACTTTATCCCCTCAAATCTCACGATATCGCTTTTAATCAAAAATTACCTGGCATCCCTACTAATCCGCTAAAACGTCAATATCCTTCTCAATCCTGATAATTTTTTCGACATCCAACTTAATCTATCGATATCTCTTAATCGCTTAAAATCCCATTATACCCCTGGATATCACTCCAAATCCACTAATATCCTTTTTGCTTTCCCTCAATAACCCTATTTTAAGTCACTTGTGTTTAAAAGTCTCGCAAGTTGCTCAATTTTATACTAATTTGGAATCCACATTTCTTGAAAATCCAAATTTGGATCCGGCATTTTTCAAATTACGAACTCTAATTGATTTAAACATTTAAACTTTTGAGACAAATTTTCCTAAGATAAATCATGGAGGTAGGTTGAAAAATAATACTCCCCCCTGAATTAGTACTCCCCCCTTAAATAGTACTCCCCTTTGGAGGAGGGTTGAAAAATAGTACTCCCGGGAGTACTATTTTAGGAAATACGGTAAATCACTTTCCTTCAAAAAAAATTTAAATCGGCATTAACATTACAAACTTTTTTATTATCATCATATTGTTTAATTAACGGCTTTTTCCACCCTCCAAAAGGTTTAAAATCAACAAAATTAGCCTTATTATCATAATGTGGATACCAAAGAGGAAAATCATTAAATTTTGTAGAACCTCCAGTAATGGGTTGCCATTGGGCATTTGAAGTGTAAATTCCTATTTTTTGTTTGTTTGCTTTAAGTTCATTAACCATTCCCTTCAAACAAAAACTTTTTTGTTTTTTAATTTATTATTTTACCTGAATAAAATCAACATTTTGTTGTTTATTTGTTTTCCAATATTGCGGACCTTCAACATCTACCCAAATTCGATCACATTTAACATTTTTTGCTTTTAAATTTTTGAGGATTGTTTCAATAATATTTCTAAATATGTAAATTTTTATTCAAAAAATAATTTATTCTATGCAATTTTTCAGTATCCCTAAGGATAGGACCAGAGGTCGATCGGAGTTCCGATTTCCGACAGTTCCGATTTCCGGCATCTTCGTCATTTTCGATCGACCTCTGTATAGGACAGCCTTTTTTGAAATGGTTAATGAACTTAAGCAAAAAATTAATAATTAATATTTTCCATAGAGATACATGAAACTACCTATTTAAAAAATATTTACTTTGGATTAGTATCCTTGCATTTAGCACAAGGGAATACATAACAATCAACATTATCAATCCCTGCTGTACGAGCATTTTTAATTGTATTAACAGAATTACTATCAAATTTATTATTTGATTGCCATACACGAATATAAATAGATTTATATCCATTTTTCTTAAAACATTTTGTTTGTTCTAAATTAGCTGGAGAGCTAATATCTATTCCTTTATCGGAATAAATGAAGTTTATGTTGTTAAGAAAAATTATTAAATTTAGGAAATAAAAACAAAACATCCTTTTCATAAAACTAAAAAATTATTTTTAAAAATCAAAAATATTAAAATATCTTAAACAGTTATATTGTAAAGAGTAGGTAAAGTTTTGGAACTGCTTAGAATAAAACATAAAAACGTGCGATATCTAATACACCCACAAGAATCTTTTGCAAAATATCTGATCACAGATGGAGGTAAGGAGAGGGCGCAATTGTGGCTGCGGAATTTTTTTTCCAATTGCGCCCAGCACTAAAGGAAAGCCATCTAATAAATATAACGAAGTTTAAATTTTTATACTTATAAAGTGAATCGAAAAACTGATTTTTATAAATAGTTAAATACCTTTTTAGATCTTTATTTATGTATATCCATTAAAACATTAAAAATAATAAACAAAAATAGTAAACAAATATTTATGAAATGATTTTTAAAGTAAATAATGTTGATATTTACTCAGAGAGCGGATTGTTAAGCTTACTAATATTACTTAAATTTTTTATTAAGAAAAATTATTTTTAAATTAAAAACTTATTTAATTATTTTACTTTACTTTCATTTTAATTTAAATAAACAAAAGTTTTATTAAAATATGTATAAATAAATTAGGTATTTTTATTTCAATTTATAAACAAAAAATATATGCACTTTTTATATTTTCAGTCTGAAAAATATTATTTTTAAATTACTTCTCATATAACTTAATTTTTATTTCTGAAAATTGTCAACTAAAAAGTACACTTTACACAACTGTATATATTTTTAAAATATTTTTATTTAAATAAATTATTTATTATATATTTTTAATTTAATTAAATAATAATATAAATATTTTTTAATTATAGTCTCGTTGGAAATTTTTTTTATTAATTTTTATTCAATTAACTTAGGTATGTAATATAAATATAAATATTATTTTATTATTTATTTTTAAATTTAATTATCAAATTTAAATTTAATTATTTTATAGAAATTTAATTATTTTATTTTTAAATTTAATTATTTTCAAAAAGTAATCGAAAATAAACTTTCAATTAGTAAATATTTAATAAAAGTTATAATAAGAATTATAATTTTTTAAATTTCTTTTGTAGGTGCTACAAATTTGCTTTCTTATTTATTTCGTTGATAAATCAGATTTGTTGATGTTAGTAAGATTGGTGATGTATTAGTAAGTGGAATTACTGGAAAAATGTTTAATCTGATAAAATTTCATAATTTTATTTAAAGAATTTAATTTTTTAAATTTATAATAAAAAAATTAAGATCCAACAAATATTATTCAAATATTAATTGCAATTTTTCTTCATTTAATAGCTGTTATTATTTGTATTTTTAAAAACATATGTATGTATCATATCGAAAAACACACAATAAAATATAAAAAATAATTTTGTCACAAGTCAGAAATAAAATTGTGACAATTTTTATTAATTTTCCTAACTCTAGTTTAAATAACCTTCATCAAAGAGGCACAGTTTTTTCACATTAAATTCGTATTTTTAATCAAAAAAAATGATCAAAACATGTATTTTCGTCAAAACGTTTAAAAAAATTTTTTTAATCTTTAACTTTTATTACAAGAAATATTCCTTTTAATGTCTTTTACATTTTAAATATATTTATTTATTACATTTTTTATGTGTTGGATTTTCTTTGGAGTTTTCGTGGCAAGTAATTAAAAATATGAAGAAGAAAGAACATATTTTTAATACTCTTTCTAGTTTTATTTAAAAAATTTTCTTCTCAAAAAATAAAGATACTAAATAGTAGGTGTAAGGATGATTCACCTAGCAGCATTTAAAACGCTTAGGCGGGGGATAAACGATCTAAAAAGGAAAAAGAGAAAGCATTAGTCGATGCCCCGGTAGCTCAACGGTAGAGCTCCTGCATATAGTGAGCGAAAGCCTAGCAACAACTAGCAGGTGGTCGCAGGTTCGAATCCTGCCCGGTGGCTAAACTTTTGCAAACTCTTTCTGGTGCCGCTAGCAGGGATCCCCACTTGCTGCTGGGTGAACCAGCCGATCCACGGTCATGGCGCTTGACCGAGGGACCGGTCTGATGTAGGGATGGAGATGTAAGGATGATTCACCTAGCAGCATTTAAAACGCTTAGGCGGGGGATAAACGATCTAAAAAGGAAAAAGAGAAAGCATTAGTCGATGCCCCGGTAGCTCAACGGTAGAGCTCCTGCATATAGTGAGCGAAAGCCTAGCAACAACTAGCAGGTGGTCGCAGGTTCGAATCCTGCCCGGTGGCTAAACTTTTGCAAACTCTTTCTTAGGGTAGCTCTCCGTCGTCCGAAACCATGACCCCGAACACTTCCAATCCCCGGAGAGTCGGAGAGCTGCCTTACTAGATAAAGTACTTTATGGATATATCAGCCCCCCTATTTTGAGTCTCAGTTTTCCTTAATATTTAATAATGGTCAGCCTTTTTCCCTACCTCAATTTCTCTCCATTTCGCTATGGTAAATTCAAATAAAAGGCATTAATAAAGAAAAAAAATTCCAAAAATGTGGTTGTGCACCCAGGTTGTGCACCGTGCACAGGCACAATACCGGTCCATGTCTAAAAATCTGAGTTGTTACTCACGGCTTATGTTAGCGTAAAATTCGTATTATATTTTAAAAATTTTGGTTACATGTCTCTATCATTAAACGGTCGAAAACAAAAAATTAATCTTTTCTTTATTAATCATTCGAATTTACCACAGGAAAATGGAGAGAAATTGAGGTAGTTAAAATGGCTGACCATTATTAAATATTAAGGAAAACTCCGAAACTCAAAATAGGGGGGGGGTGATATATCCATAAAGTACTCTAAATAGTGTTAATTAAATAAAAAAATATTTAAAGAATGAATATTGCAATTATTTTCTTGATATTATTTTCCTTATTAATATATTATTCATCTTGTCGTGAAATACCTACTGGACCTAATCCTCTACACAATAAAAAATGAAAATAAATTTCGATTAATGGAAATTTGCAAGAAAAGATGGATAATAAATTAAATAATAAATTATATGTTTATGGATATAATTTTAAATGAGATAAAGTGTAATGTTTAAAGTGTGTGTTTTTATCCTTCAATCTCAAAGATAAAAAGATTTCATCGGGGGACAAAATTTAACAAGTTTTTATTTTAAAATAATGTATGTGGTTTTAGTTACTAATTACTTAAGAAATTAATTAAAGCTCGTTTTGAAACGTTTCTTTGAATTTTAACTAGTAAATAAACCAATAGATCTCTTTAATAAGCTTTAAATAAAATTTCTATTTTCGATTCCGATTTTTTCTATGTACAGATACAGTAGTCGACATAAAGATAGGGACAAGAGTAATTTAAATGAAAATTAACTATTTTTCGGTCAAAAAATACGTTCTATATAGCAATCGAAAGCTTTATTTATATCTCAGTTGACATGTTTCTGCATTTTTCATGAAAATGAAAATTGGCCGAGATAATCCGGATATACCGGTTTTCGAAAAAAATTTTTCGAAAAAAATCTAACAAACCCATTTGATAAAGCATATTTTTGTGAGTATATAACACAAAACCGCTTAAAAATATCTCTTTGCGGACCAGAGATATGATTTTTTGAAAATGGCATTTTTCCCTTAAAAATTGAATTTTTTGCAAAAATAGACGAAAAATGCCATTTTCAAAAAATCATATCTCTGGACCGGAAAAAGATATTTCTAAGCGGTTTTGTGAAAATACTCAGAAAAATATTCTTTATCAAATGGGTTTGTTAGATTTTTTCCGAAAATTTTTTCCGAGGCTGTGGGATTTGGTATATCCGGTATATCCGGATTATCTCGGCCAATTTTCATTTTCATGAAAAATGCAGAAACATGTCAACTGAGATATAAATAAAGCTTTCGATTGCTATATAGAACGTATTTTTTGACCGAAAAATAGTTAATTTTCATTTAAATTACTCTTGTCCCTATCTTTATGTCGACGACTGTAGATATCGTTAGATTTATTCTATATATTAATTGAGCTTTCCTGCCTGTTTTTGATAAATCGTACAGTATTGAAATAATTTCTCGTCATCTAAAAAATAATATTGAGCAAATTGTCGAATCCATGACGTCCTGATATGGTTTGATTCAGCTCGTCGAGGCATAACCATACCATTCTGAATGATTCTACTTCATAATTAGGATTGTCTGTTTCACACCGAAACTTTAAGTAAACGAAGAATTTGCCGAAACCGACAAACCTAATCATAAAATATAAAATTATTTAACAAACAAATACTATTTTAAATATTTTTGACACAAATTAAATACAAATAGTATTTATATAAACAAAAAGTAGATATACATAAATATTTACTAAAATACATACTATTAATTAGTTTCCTTCTTGATAAGACTATAAAATAATAATAATTACTTGTATTTCCTTATTCTTTCTCTTTAATTGTAATTTTTGCGTAAAAAATGAAATTTTTTATAAATATTACAAAAAATATTAATTATTATTTTATTCAATTTTTGCTGTTTCCAATTTTTATTTTTTGTTTATCATGTAATATTTTAACAAGTCAATTAAACGAAAAAATTCAAATAAAAACACCTCTTGGAATTATTGAAGGAAGAAGATATTGCATTAATAATTATGGGGATAAAATAGATGTATTTTTTGGTATTCCTTTTGCTTTACCTCCAATTGGAAATTTAAGATTTGAAGTTTTTTAATAAATAATATTAAAATTAAAAATAATTTAAAGAAGCCAAAATCTATTCCAAAATGGAAGGGTATACGTTTAGCTACACAACCACCCCCAGCTTGCATTTATCACGCGTGGCCGGAAGGTTTTGATAAAAAGGAAAAGAATTATTCTGAGGATTGTCTTTATTTGAATATATTTGCCCCTAAAATTGTAAAGGTTTTTTAATAAAAGGATTGATTTAATTACCATAAGACTTGCTAATTAGATTATACCTTTAACTTGTAAGTTCCCTTGAGGATCAGCTGATTTTTTGTTAAATATCGAATCGAAAAAATTGATTCGAGATCTAGTTTTATGTTTCAAAACTTGTTTCTAATCTTAATTGATAAGTACAACCGGAGAAACAAACAGAAGAATCCTCGATTCGTTTCAGCCGACAACCCAAATGATGAGGTTTAACTTATTCCAAGTTTTTTCAATGATATTCTTTAACTTATTGCTTTCAATTTTCAAAAAATTTTGTTTTTGTAAATACACTTTATTACAAAAATTTTTTTACAATTAATTTATTTAAAGAGAAAAACACCCGAACCTATTCAACTATATCCAATTTTGTTTATAATCCATGGTGGTGGATTTGAAGTAGGATCATCACATGAGTATCACAATTATACCGAAATTGGAAAGAAATTTGTTTCTCAAGGGATTATTGTTATTTCCATTCATTATCGACTTGGATGGATTGGTAAATTCAGCAAAACTAACTGAATTTAAAAATAATTTTATTAGGCTTTGGGTCTACTGGTAATGATGAATTGCCTGGTTTTTTTAAATATTTTTATTAATTATTTAATAAAATTTTAAGGAAATTTGGGTTTATGGGATATGGTCGAGGCATTAAAGTATGTCCGTCAAAATATTAAATCATTCGGAGGAGATCCTGATAAAATAACTATTTATGGTTATAGTGCTGGAGGAGCAAGTGTTTCTCTTTTGTCAGCTTCTCCTCATAGCCAAGGTATTTTTGATTAATTTTGTGCTAAAATTATCCTTATTATATGTAAAATTATTTTAAGGCCTTTTCAAACGAGTTATTCAAATGAGTGGTTCTCCTCTTGCTGCTTGGGCATTAAATGAAAGAACAGTAAATGAAACAATTAATTTGGCTAAAGCAATTGGTTGTTCTAAAATAAAATCAATTAAACAATGTTTGACTAAAATTAATATTTCTGATGCTTGGAATTTTGTTGATAAATTAGTATTTTGTTGATTGTTTTATTTTTTATTTTTTTAATTTTCGGGAACAACACGTACTGAAGATGTTAATTTTTCAAAATGGAGTCCTCGTATTGATGGAGATTTTCTACCTAAAGATTTTCCTCAATTAATTGCTAATTCTGAACCTAAACAAACAATAATGGGATTTGTTGAGTTGGAGACGTTATTGTGGAGTTAGTTAAATATTAATTTGTTGAATACATATCTAAACAAATTTTAATCAGAATTTTAATAAAAAATTCTTTAGCGCAATTTATGGGACGTAACAATACATTAGCTGCTTATGCCATTCCATGGGAAGAATCAAAATACTTTGATATTCACGAATTTAAAGACAAAGTTAAAAGAATTGTTACAAAAACTGAATTTTTTGGAGAAAATCTAGCTAATGAATTAGCTAATGAAATTGTGGAATTTTATTTAAATAATGATCCCCTTATTGAATTTAATCGACTTGAAAATACAACAACCTCCAATTATTATTATTTACAAAGATATACTTTGGTAATTAATTGGATTAGGAAAAATAAATTAAGGAATAATACTAAAAATTATTATAAAATAATTTTAGGTGACCTCACAATTGAAATTAAAAACCGCTAATTTAAGAAAATATCTACTTAATTACTTATATGATCCAAAAATCAGTGTTAGGGTATCGGAAACCTCGAAAAAATCATCTAATAATCTAACATTCCTCATAATTGTTTTAATTTTATTAAGTTAGTCAAGTGTAATTTCATGGAAATATATTGGTTAACATATCAAAATATTATTGAATTTGCTTTTCCAATTAAAAATAATTTCAAAACTTTATTATAAATTTAGCTATTATCGGATCTTCAATTTATAATATCAGTGATTAACGATGCTCAATTAAAAATTAAAAATGGTTGGCCTATTTATTTATATTATAATCTTCATTATAATATTCAAGAATTTCCTAAAGGAGTTAAAATACATCGTAAGAAAAATAAAAATGAAATATTTTAATATAATTTTATTTTTAAAGAAAATTTTCACACAAATGATGAAAATTTTATTTTCCATTATTCTCCTTTTAATTTTACTTTAAACGAAGAAGATTTGTCTGTTGAAAGATTTTTAGTACAATCTTATGTTAATTTTATTAAATTTGGGTAAAATTTAATTAATTAATTTAGAAATATTTTTTTTAAAGAAATCCTTCAATATACGAAATTAAATGGCATAAAGCTACTCAAAAAATGCCAACAAGACATATCAGAATAAATGGACTACAAACACTTGAAAATAATTATGATTTGGATTTATTAGCTAGACACGAATTTTTTCAAAGAATTTCAATTAAATATGGACATATTTGGGATTTGGTTAGGGGAGGGCCTGAAAAATAGGCAAAAGAAAATGACAAATTTAATTAATTTAGAATTTATGCAGACAATCTTTTTATATTTAAATTTTCAATAAAAAGTTATTTATATTTAGTAAAGCAGCTGGGCTATAGCTATCTATTTCTCTCCTTTACCTAGTGCAAAAGGTTCATCAGCGGATGGGCGCGAACAAGCATCCTCAATAAACCGGACTAATGTGTTATCTATTACACCACGCCGCCTACTGCACAGCCTTAGGAATTAAATAGCTACATAGTATATGCTTTACAATTTATATTTAAATTTTATTAAATACTATCTTAAAAATAAATAAAATTATTTTTATTTTTCAAAAATTAATTTAAATATTTGTAGGTAAAAATAACAATAAAATTTCATGTACATATTTAATTCAAAATTTTATTTAAAAAATTTATTTGTTTAACAGAGTTCACAACTTTGAATACAAAATTTTAATCGAATTTCTGGTTTATAAAATTTATTTTTGCAAAACCCATTCTTTGCCCAGAATTGACAACTAAAATATATTTATATAAATATATTTAAAATAAAAAACAAAAACTTTTTATGTTCGTCAGTACAATTTACTGAAGGTTTTGGTAATATAATAGGTAAATCTGGTAGAGGTAAAATAACTGGCTCCTCTGGTTGAACACCAATCCAAGAATCTGTTGTTGTTGTTAATATATCCTCTGTTGATGTTGTTTTATTTAAAAACCCTCCTCCACCTTCCATAGGAATTAAAGATAATAATTCCTTTATATTTTCGTTTGGTAATAAATTAGAGGGAATTGAATTTGTTTTGTTGTTAACTTTTTAAATTTAAAATTTATTTTTTAAATAAAAATTTAAAATATATATTTGCAAATCATCTTTATTTAAATGAAAGTTAAAATTTCTATTTTATATTTAGTAATTGTAAATTTGAAAATAAAAATTTTCAATAGAATTTTTAATTTAATAAAACTGAATTCTTTCTTTTTTAGCTCATGCAAAAGATTTTTCATGTGACTAGCGAGGGTAGGTCTGAAATGACGAAGGTGGTGTAAATCGGAACTGTCGGAAATCGGAGATCAACCTAAATTTTCGGAAATCGGAATTCTGACCGACTGCTGATGGCTGGATATTATAAATATATACATAGCTAGTTGCTTTACATTAATTTTACCTCTATTTAAACTTTATTTATTTTTACCTCTATCTAAGACTAAAGTATTATTATTTTCAACACTTTTATTTTTATTTTTTAATCCTTCCAACATATGTGGAGCATTATCTAATGGTTGTTGATTTTGTTCATTTATTTTTTCTTCTTTTTTAATTTCTTTTTGAAAATTAAATGGTTTAATAATTTGTTGTTTTTGAGTTAAAACAAAAATAAATAAATTAATAATTATTAAATAAAAATATAAAAACATTTTTTAAAAATTAATTTTTAATTAAATAATCCCTTTAAATAAATTTTATTTTGTTTAATTTTAAAATGAAATTTCCAAATTTAGAGAACAATTAAATAATAAACAAGCAGCTAATAATGACAATGATATTACAAAATCTTTTGTACAATTATTGTTTTTATTTTAAATAAAAATCTGTTGAATAAACAAAACAAAAAAACATAAAAAAATAAAAATGTCTGAATTGATTGGTGATTGTTATTTTAATTGTATATTTGTAAATTATTGATGTAAAAATTAGAAAAATACAAGCTTTTTTAGAATTTGTATAGTAAAGTTGTCGGATAGTTGGAAATCTTCGGATATCCGGACCCGACGAACGTATTGTGAGGTCTTTAAACGAGTTAGGAAATTTGAATAAAATTCTATATTAAAAAAGTTATAAAGTTAAAAAAATGTTTGTAAAAATTAGTAAATTTAAAAAAGAAAAATTTAAATAATTTTTTTCTAAAAAATTCCAAGCTTTTTTTTATCAAAAAAAAATATTATTTTCATTTTTAATAATTTTCCAAATATTTTTCAGATATATTGTAGTAGATAATTGCCTCTAATTTTTCTTATTTTTCATCAAAAAAGTAAATATTTGGAAAAAAACATAACTAATTTAATAAAATATTTTGATTTAAAAAATAAAAAATTATATTTCGGAATCATTTTTAAATAATAATTTCTTTGTATAAAAATAATAAAACACACATTTACAACAGGGCTGGAGAATTTTGAATTTTAGAAAGCGGAAGACGAAAGGCGGAAGCTGATCCAGCCCTTATTTACTATTAGAGAATTTAAACTACTATATGTTTTTAAGTTAAAATAATTTTTAAATTATTATTTTAATAAAAACTTTTATTAAATGTCCTCACTGACTGAAAAATATTTTCATCTACAAATTCTAAAGTCAGCTGAATATTTTGATAATGATATTGCAATTGTAATTATTTAAAAAATAATTAAATATAAAATAAATTTAAAAATTATTAATTTAATTTATTTATTTACGCCTTAATGGCGCGTATCTTTGAATTATTTGTGATATAAAAAATAATTTTAAATAATTAAAATTTATTGAAAATTTTATTTAATTAACTAGATCGACATATTAACTGGTTGTAGTCTAACATTTTCTGATATTTACAACAAATCCATTCAATTATCTTCTGTTTTACATCAATTTAAATTTTTAAAACCTAAAGATGTTGTATTATGTGTTCTAAATAACAATATTTATTTTCCTGTAATTTTATTAGGATTTGCTTTAAATGGAATTTTAGTAACAGGAGCATCTCCAAATTCAACAATAGGTTAATGAAAATAAATTTATTGAAAAATGTTGAGAGTTAGAGAAATGTTTAAGATCATTAATATTTTTTTAAATTTATTTAGTTAAAAATTAAGGGGAAATTTTGGTTATAAGAAATGATTCTTTATTAAAATAATTTTTCATAAAAAAATTTGTGGAAGAAAATAGACGATAATCCTTAGAATTGGCTTATATAATGTCGGATAAATTTATAAAAATATTTTGAAAATATTTCTCGATTATTATCCCATTTATTTCAAACTCTCAGTAGAGAGATTAATTAACCTTAAATATAACTCCTTAATAAGTATCTTCAATCAAAAATATTATTTTCATTTTTTAGAAGAATTAAATCATTTTATAAACAAAACTGGTTGTAAAATTATTTTAACCGAAAATGGAAAACATCTTGATTGGTTAGCTTCAAAATCTAAAGAATTGGACATTACACTAATTTTGCTCGATAAAAAGAAGGAACAGAAAGGAATTGACTTTTTCGAATTTTTAGAATCTAATAAAAATATTGAAAATAGGGAAATAAATAAATTTTTGGAAGAGTTTGAATTAAATAAATTTTTGGGTGCTAATAGGGATGACGAGGATGATCCGCTTTTTGTTGCTCTTTTAAGTAGTTCAACAAGGTAAAATTAGATTAATAACTCTGATAAAATATAACGTATCTTTTAAATTTAAAGTGAAACTGCTAAGGTTATTTTATTGGTAAGTTAATTTAAAAATATACAAGTAGCCATTCTTCAAATTTTATGGTAGAATTGTAAAATCTAAATGATAAAAAATTTTATTTTATAATACAATTTTTGTTGAAGGATTTCCGAATAAAAAAAGAGCCCAATTTCCCGTACACCCTTGAAAATAATGAAACAAAATTAGTAATTTCTACCCTTTATAATTCCCTCAAATAACAAAATCAGTTCATCTTCATACAACTCTTTATCTCATAGTATTTGCCATTATAACTTCTATTAAATTATTTTTTGTTATACCATTGCTTTTTGGAAAATTGGACGTTTCAAAATTTTAAATAACTAGCGGAGTTGGTCGGCCTTCGGCCGCCCCACCCCGCTAGCAAAAACAAAACAGACCAAAAAACAAACTCCAAATCAACTTATCACAACCTCAAAATTGCCCTAATCCAATCATAATCAGAAAAACCCGATTATCATAACATTGACCAGCATTAAAACATTTCCTGATTACAAATACATTTAACAAAGCAAAGCATCTAATAGGTGCACCTATAGGGTACACACAGGCGTCGTGTGACTCCGCTAGCATAATAAAACAATTCAACTCAAGATCCGATTCAAAAGCCTTTGGCCGGCCTATCTCGCTTACACATTTTTTTCCTCACAATTCCGCCTGCTTCCCAATTCCCACTGTTTCGATATTCCCCGGCTTCGCAATTCCCCTTGCCTCACAATACCGCCTGCTTCACATCATTCCCGTTTCAATATTCCTCCAGCACCACAATTCATCTTGTTTCAATATTCTGCCTCCTTACCAATTCCTCTTGCCTCTCACAATACCGCTTGCTTCACAATTCCCCTTGTTCAATATCCCGCCTGTTTCAATATTTCGCCTGCTTCACAATTCCCCATGTTTCACAGTTCCCCTTGTTCAATATTCCGCCTGCTTCACAACTCCCTCTGTTTCACAATTCCCCTTGTTCAATATTCCGCCTGTTTCAATATTCCGCCTGCTTCACAATTCCCATTGTTTCAATATTCCGCCTGTTTCAATATTCCGCCTGCTTCACAATTCCCATTGTTTCAATATTCCGCCTGTTTCCATATTCCGCCTGCTTCACAACTCCCCATGTTTCACAGTTCCCCTTGTTCAATATTCCGCCTGCTTCACAACTCCCTCTGTTTCACAATTCCCCTTGTTCAATATTCCGCCTGTTTCAATATTCCGCCTGCTTCACAATTCCCATTGTTTCAATATTCCGCCTGCATGAACTTTGCGCCTAGCACTTGACAAATGAACGTTGACGCCTGGCACTTGACAAATGAACGTTGACGCCTGGCACATGACAAATGAACGTTGACGCCTAGCACTTCAAGTGACGTTGACGGCTAGCACTTGACAAATGAACGTTGACGCCTAGAACTTGACAAATGAACGTTGACGTCTAGCACTTGATACAAATGAACGTTGACGTCTAGCATTTGACAAATGAACGTTGACGTCTAGCATTTGACAAATGAACTTTGACGTCTAGCACTTGATACAAATGAACGTTGACGTCTAGCACTTCAAATGAACGTTGACGCCTGGAACTTGACAAATGAACGTTGACGTCTAGCACTTCAAATGAACGTTGACGCCTAGCACTTGACAAATGAACGTTGACGCTTAGCACTTGACAAATGAACGTTGACGCTTAGCACTTCAAATGAACGTTGACGTCTAGCACTTCAAATGAACGTTGACGCCTAGAACTTGACAAATGAACGTTGACGTCTAGCACTTGACAAAGTAACGTTGACGTCTAACTCAAGAGAACACAGGACTCCAGCAAACGTAGAACAGAGCACAGCATAGTTGAAGTGCTGGTAGCAGTTGAGGACTGACCAAAATACTCTGCTTTTATACTATCTTTTTACCCATACAACCTAATTCAACCTGCAACGCTTTACTATAAAAACCCCCATTTCCTCACTCCTCCAAATCATTTTACTATAAAAACCCACTTGTCTATAAAAGGACAAACAGACAGACACACTCTTCTCAATTATATAATTAGATATTTGAAAATCTTCAAAGCGCTGTAACTCTGTGAATTTAGGGACCCTCCTCATAAGCTATAGCTTATTCGAAAGAGCATCAAAAACTGTATCTAAAACCTTGGGGCAATTTTGTTTATAAAAACTTTCTCAGAAGATAAAACAGATGGAATCATAAATTGTAATTTATATTTGCAAATCTTCAAAGCCGTGTAACTCTATGAATTTAGGGACCCTCCTCATATGCTATAGCTTATTCGAAAGAGCATCAAAAACTGTATCTAAAACCTTGCGGCAATTTTGTTTATAAAAACTTTCTCAAAGATAAAATAGATGGAATTGTAAATTGTAATTTATATTTGAAAATCTTCAACGCCGTGTAACTCTGTGAATTTAGGGACCCTCTTCATAAGCTATAGCTTATTCGAAAGAGCATCAAAAACTGTATCTAAAACCTTGCGGCAATTTTGTTTATAAAAACTTTCTCAAAGATAAAATAGATGGAATTGTAAATTGTAATTTATATTTGAAAATCTTCAACGCCGTGTAACTCTGTGAATTTAGGGACCCTCTTCATAAGCTATAGCTTATTCGAAAGAGCATCAAAAACTGTATCTAAAACCTTGCGGCAATTTTGTTTATAAAAACTTTCTCAAAGATAAAATAGATGGAATTGTAAATTGTAATTTATATTTGAAAATCTTCAACGCCGTGTAACTCTGTGAATTTAGGGACCCTCTTCATAAGCTATAGCTTATTCGAAAGAGCATCAAAAACTGTATCTAAAACCTTGGGGCAATTTTGTTAAAAACTTTCTCGAAGATTAGATGGAATTGTAAATTGTAATTTATATTTGAAAACCTTCAAAGCCGTGTAACTCTGTGAATTTAGGGACCCTCCTCATAATCTATAGCTTATTCGAAAGAGCATCAAAAACTGTATCTAAAACCTTGGGGCAATTTTGTTAAAAACTTTCTCGAAGATTAGATGGAATTGTAAATTGTAATTTATATTTGAAAACCTTCAAAGCCGTGTAACTCTGTGAATTTAGGGACCCTCCTCATAATCTATAGCTTATTCGAAAGAGCATCAAAAACTGTATCTAAAACCTTGAGGCAATTCTGTCTACGTCAACCTTCTCAAAAGAAAATAGATATTTTCATTTCCTCGCTCCCCAAATCATTTTACTATAAAAGCCCCCATTTCCTCACTCCCCAAATCATTTTACTATAAAAGCCCCCTTTTCCTCACTCCCCAAATCATTTTACTATAAAAGCCCCCTTTTCCTCACTCCCCAAATCATTTTACTATAAAAGCCCCCTTTTCCTCACTCCCCAAATCAGTTTACTATAAAAGCCGTGTGACAAACAATTTCCTTCCATTCACAAATTATATATAGGATTGCCGCAGACACATGCTTCAAGAATAGAAGCAGAATTCTTCGTTGTATGAAAGGCGGTAACAACAAAGAGTTCGCCAGAATCACACTCAAGAATTATCGTTGTTTTAGTAGACGATTTGAGCACACTTTTGATCAAACCTCGGCAAAATCTAAAAATCTAACTTTAACGAACAAAATCAAAATAATATGATTTACCCCAACCAAGATCCTGGAGGATTAAGCTTCAATTCAGACAAAGACGACAACTGCATGACGAACAGAAATGGCAACGGAATATACAATTGTAGAGATGAAGTATGGAGTGATATGAAGTGTCTAAAATCATTTACTTTTATAGTAAACAAACTCACTTACAGAGTGACAGAAACTCGCCTTAACCTATCAACCGTTAATGACTGGATGAATTCAGGGACCCTTCTCATAAGCTATAGCTTATTCGAAAGAGCATCAAAAACTCTATCTAAAACCTTGGGGCAACTTTGTTTATAAAAACTTTCTCAAAGATAAAATAGATGGAATCATAAATTGTATTTTATATTTGAAAATCTTCAAAGCCATGTAACTCTGTGAATTTAGGGACCCTCCTCATAATCTATAGCTTATTCGAAAGAGCATCAAAAACTGTATCTAAAACCTTGGGGCAATTTTGTTTATAAAAACTTTCTCAAAGATAAAATAGATGGAATCATAAATTGTATTTTATATTTGAAAATCTTCAAAGCCGTGTAACTCTGTGAATTTAGGGACCCTCCCCATAATCTATAGCTTATTCGAAAGAGCATCAAAAACTGTATCTAAAACCTTGGGGCAATTTTGTTAAAAACTTTCTCGAAGATTAGATGGAATTGTAAATTGTAATTTATATTTGAAAACCTTCAAAGCCGTGTAACTCTGTGAATTTAGGGACCCTCCTCATAAGCTATAGCTTATTCGAAAGAGCATCAAAAACTGTATCTAAAACCTTGGGGCAATTTTGTTTATAAAAACTTTCTCAAAGATAAAATAGATGCAATTGTAAATGTTAATTTATATTTGAAAATCTTCAAAGCCGTGTAACTCTGTGAATTTAGGGACCCTCCTCATAATCTATAGCTTATTCGAAAGAGCATCAAAAACTGTATCTAAAACCTTGGGGCAATTTTGTTTATAAAAACTTTCTCAAAGATAAAATAGATGCAATTGTAAATGTTAATTTATATTTGAAAATCTTCAAAGCCGTGTAACTCTGTGAATTTAGGGACCCTCCTCATAATCTATAGCTTATTCGAAAGAGCATCAAAAACTGTATCTAAAACCTTGGGGCAATTTTGTTAAAAACTTTCTCGAAGATTAGATGGAATTGTAAATTGTAATTTATATTTGAAAACCTTCAAAGCCGTGTAACTCTGTGAATTTAGGGACCCTCCTCATAATCTATAGCTTATTCGAAAGAGCATCAAAAACTGTATCTAAAACCTTGGGGCAATTTTGTTAAAAACTTTCTCGAAGATTAGATGGAATTGTAAATACTAATTTATATTTGAAAACCTTCAAAGCCGTGTAACTCTGTGAATTTAGGGACCCTCCTCATA